TTCCTTTGGCAAGGTAATAAGGAGAAAAAGGTCTTTCATTTAGTTAAATGGAAGACACTCACAATGGATAAAAAACAAGGTGGTTTAGGAATAAGGAATTTGAAGAATCATAGCAAGGCTCTTAGAATGAAATGGTTATGGAAGTACTCTCAAGAACCCCAATCTTTATGGGGCAAAGTGATCAAAGCAAAGTATGGTGAGGAAAATAACTGGGTGTCAAAAAAAGTCAGAACATCATATGGAGTAAGTGTGTGGAAATCCATCAGAGAACTTTGGCCTATAATGAAGAATCACTCCTCCATAAGAGTGAACAACGGAAGGAACACATCATTATGGAATGATAATTGGTTAGGAAACGGAAGCTTAAAGGAAAGATACCCGACATGTTTGGTTTAGCACAAAACCAGCATAAGACAGTAGCTGATATGAGGAGTCATCAAGGATGAGAAATCGCTCTAAGAAGACAGTTGAATGACTGGGAGATAACAAGATTAGTTGACATTTACAAAGAGCTGGAAGCATTTAAAGGATTACAGGAAGGTTTTGATTCACTTTGGTGGAAGAGGCACAACAGAGGGGTATACCGGGTGAAGGATGCATATAAGATTTTGAATCATAATAATCAACAGGTGGACCCATGGCCTTGGAAACATATATGGAAAACAAAGATTCCATACAAGGTAGCTTGCTTCACTTGGCTACTAGCAAAGGAGACGGTATTAACCCAGGATAATCTCATATAAAGGAGAATTTCTCTGTGCTCAAGATGTTTTCTGTGCGGGGAAAATGCTGAAACTGTCACACATTTGTTTCTACATTGCAAGATTACGGACCAGCTATGGAAAATCTTTATTAGTCTTAGGGGTATTTCATGGTCAATGCCATACAGGCTTAAAGATGTCCTTTATAGCTGGGAAGAAGCTGGAGCTGAAGCAACTAGTAGAGATAGATGGAGGACTGTCCCGGCTTGTATCTGGTGGACAGTTTGGAGGGAAAGGAACGCTAGATGTTTTGAAGATAGAAGCAATCCAGTGCAGAAGATCAAACTCGATTGTATTCTTCTTTTTTGTTTTTGGTGCAAACAGATTTACATAGAAGATACATTGACAATCATAGACATACTAGGATCTTGCTAGGTCTTGAATTAGAACATCTACTAATCCTCTCCATGTAAATTTGGTTTTCAGTGCAAGCTATGTACTGATGTTTTTAATATATACAATAGTTACCAATTCGAAAAAAAGAATAACCAATATTGGACCAATTATCATTCCAAGATACCATGTCAACAAAGATAGTAAATATTAACCTAAGATAAAAATTTAAAAAAACTTGAATAGACAAAGAGTAAAATCTAATCTAGACCAAAAAAAAACTAGCAAGGAAGAAGGGTGAATAGTAAATCCGTTACTATTCATCGGCCATAACTTCGGAATCTAGCAGTGGATTTTCGCAAACTTGGTATCAAAAGATTCATTTTCTCTTTGCGCACAATCCCCAATTGGTTTCACCCTCAAATCCATAGCCAATTGTTACAGATCTACAAATTGGTTCGTCCATTACTGTAGCAAAACAGTGTATCTGGGCAACTTCTTCTTTTCTGTGCGATGTAGTGTTGAAACTTTTGCGTAATAGAGCCTTTCCATGGCAGCCAACGTCTCTCCCCAGCCTTTGGCTGTGGGAGAGCAGAATCCAAACTCAAATGAAGTTACTCCAAACATCAACAACTTTGTTACATATGCAGCAAGTTTGAATCAAAAGCAATCTGCCACATCTCTCACAAAAACGAGTTTGAAACCTTTTGAAATTGTTCATGGAGTTCCTACGATTCAATTTTCCATGGATGAACGTGAAGAATTTGCAAAGGAGGAAGGATTACATCAAGCAGTGATGATAAAACTGTCCAGCGACGCACCAAATTTACAGATTTTAAGGAGTATTCTGCCGAAAATCTTTGGTATCAAAGGTAATTGCTTGTTCGGTTCTTTGGCTCCACGACAAATTTTAATTCGTTGTGATCAACATGAAGATTATGTTGCTTGTTTGGCAAGAGCTGTAAACTATTTTCAACATAATGGAAGGGAGCATCAATATAGAGTTTTCCCATGGAGTGTTGGATATAATCCAAACCAGGAAACTTCGAAGGTGGCTATTTGGATTTCTTTGCCGAATTTGTCGCCTGAACTGTTTGCTCGTAAGCCTTTATTGTCCATTGCGGCTGCTATTGGAAAACCAATCGCAATTGATAAGGCAACACAAGTTAGATCTCGTCCTAGCACGGCAAGAGTCAAGGTTATCATTGATTTACTTGACAAACTTCCTGAAAAGATTAGGCTTCAATATCTTGATGTTAAAACTGGTAAGATTGTTGAGGATTACCAGGAAATTATCTATGATAATTTGCCTTCGTATTGTGGCCATTGTAAGCATCAAGGACACGAAGAAAATCAATGTCGGCGCTTAAAAGGAAAGGCAGTTCAAGCAACTCGTGTTTGTGATGAGAATGAGCATCAAATAGTTGAAAAATTGCAGGGTGATGCAAGAGATTTTTTGAATGCTTAGAGAGCTGGGCAACAACTTACAGAAGGATCAGAAAATGATAAGAATGCTAGGCAGCAGGTGTGTGATGATTTGAGTAAAAAGGCAGATGCAACAGGTGTTAAAGGTGCTGTGCAAGTAGAAAAACTGATGTTAATATCCCTGATGGTGCACAGATTCTCAGCAATTCTGGGATCTCAAAGAGTGTCGCTATTGTTCCTGTCGATCGTGCCTTAGCTAGGAATCGAGGGAATGGCAGTAGTATAGGGACAATAACGGGAGGTGATCGACCTATTAATGGTACAGGTGAACAAGCTGATAATGCAGCAGGATACAAAGTGAGGAGGGGCAGGAACATGTAAGTACTGAGGCCTTGGAGTGTGCTGATGCTACAGCCTGTAAGGCTGTGAATATGGAAAATTCAGCTGCAGGTGTACAGGCTAATATTGGAGCTTTGAAACCTACAGCTCCTTTGAAACATACTGCTGGGACTCTGGAAAATAGTAATGATCGAGCTGTTACTTCAAAAAAAACTGGTGTGGAAACTACTGTTGAGGTAAACCATGTAGATGTTATGGAGTTGGAATATGCAGCTTCAATAGGGTATAAAGTGGTGAATGTACAAACTAAACAACTTCAAGTCTCAGCTGCGAGGATGGCTAATACTACTGTTGATCGAGAAACCAAGGCCACAAATAATGCAACAGATGTAGTAGTAGGACATGTTGTGCAATCTGGAATTGAAGCAGTTGCTATATGTTCAACGTTGGAGTCTACTGTTGTATTGACTGCATCGGGGGAGCGACATTTGGTTGGGGCTCCTAAAACTACAGCTGCATTTGTTAATTTGGTTGAAAAACCAATAGGTAACGTGCAGAAAGAAAGGTATATGGCTGGGCAACAGGAAAACCAAGGAACTTCTACACAAAATAATATGCAACAGGAGTTTTTGAATCAAGCAAACATTGCTAATAACCAACTAAAGGTAGCAGGGGCAGGACATAGTGGTGTAGGTGCACATTCGAAGTCTACTACTGCATTGAAAACAACTGTTGATCATGTTGTTGCACTGGTTGAACCAGTTGAGAAATCAGCAGCAACAGGTACAACTCCTGTAGATGTATCTACTGCTGTTTTAGTTCCAGCTGAAATTGTTTCAACACCTACTGATGCTGGACAAGATACAAAGGAAGCTGGGCAGCAAATTAGTAAGAATAACTGGACAACGGTTTCCAGCAAAAAAGGCACTCCAAATAGAAAAAAAATGATGCAGGTTGAGCAGCTTTCGAGAAATTGTGCGAATCCTTTCAATGCACTAGCCAACGTGAATGACTACCATGAGAAGATTGGGAACACAATATCCTTAAATGATGGTCCTTTTAACCAACAAATAGTCCCAATTTCAAGCATTAACAAGGGAGGCAAAACCAGCAACCAGTTGGCTAAGGTTTCCGGAGAGCGACAAAATGCTATAAATAGCAGTGTAGCAGAANAAACATTGCTAATAACCAACTAAAGGTAGCAGGGGCAGGACATAGTGGTGTAGGTGCACATTCGAAGTCTACTACTGCATTGAAAATAACTGTTGATCATGTTGTTGCACTGGTTGAACCAGTTGAGAAATCGGCAGCAGCAGGTACAACTCCTGTAGATGTATCTACTGCTGTTTTAGTTCCAGCTGAAATTGTTTCAACACCTATTGATGTTGGACAAGATACAAAGGAAGTTGGGCAGCAAATTAGTAAGAATAACTGGACAATGGTTTCCAGCAAAAAAGGCACTCCAAATAGAAAAAAATGATGCAGGTTGAGTAGATTTCGAGAAATTGTGCGAATCCTTTCAATGCACTAGCCAACGTGAATGACTACCATGAGAAGATTGGGAACACAATATCCTTAAATGATGGTCCTTTTAACCAACAAATAGTCCCAATTTCAAGCATTAACAAGGGAGGCAGAACCAGCAACCAGTTGGCTAAGGTTTCCGGAGAGCGACAAAATGCTATAAATAGCAGTGTAGCAGAAGTGTCAAAGGGCGAGCTTGTACCAAGGTCTAGCACTCCTACGATTCTTTTTTCCAGTTCACAAGTGGAAAACATTATCAAACAGGCCCAAGCAGAAATGGTAATGAACACCACCTTGGTTAAACAACCAATGGTGACTTTGAACACATCCGTGTTTGATGTCCCTTCTCAGTCAGTAGAGTCTTTTGGGGAGTTCAAAGGTGAATCTGGGCAGCTTGTCATGTCAACTGGGAACAACAATGAGGTTATCCAACAAAAGGTAAAGGAAATGGCTATCAATTCTAAGCTGTGGTGTGAACAACGAGAGGAGGATGATGAAGAGGATTGGGGTGATGGGTTTGCTGGCTATTCATCTGAAGAAGGTGAGCAGGAGGTTGATCAGGAGAGTGCAGGTGAGGAGATCGATCCTCCAGTAAAGCCAAAGCCTCATGAGGCAACAACATCAAGTCCCACGACCAAATTGAACATTCATGCTCCTATTTTCATCCCCAGAAACTCTCCTACTGCTGCTACGCCAGATGCAGCAGCTGGAAGGTTGGTTAGCGCTGCGGAAACATGTGCCAAACAGGCCACTCCAGGTGTTAATACAAGTCAAATTGTGATTACACCAACACTTAAAATGCAGCAGCAACAAAATGATCTGCACACCTCAACTAGTATGCATACTGGTGATCGCACAGCAGCAACAAAACCAAATTCTGGGCAGCAGCAACTCACAACAACTACTCCAATTATTTCGGTTGAGGAGAGACAACTACTTGATGCAATTGTAAGTACTGCTCCTCTACTTTCTTTAAGTCAAACAGTCTCTTGCACTGGTCGTGGGAATGTGAGCAGGAACAAATCACAAAAACAACAACAAAGTACGGCAAATATGGTTCCTGCACAAGCTGGAAATACATTGATGACTCAAGGTGTTTCTCAACAAATGCCAAATCCAATTTTGGTAGGTAGAGATATATATGAAGAAGGGGAGGAAGATGATATCTTAAATCAATGCCGGGCAGAGGCATCAAGAAAAGGTGACCTATCACCTATGCATAGTGGAAAAATAAAAAAGGCACATACAAGGAAAAATAGTTGGGACGACAAGGTCAGTGATTTTTTAAATGTTAGGCGACCTCCAATGAGAGTTGCCAAACAAAAGAAGGCTGCCCCAACTACCTCAACGAGGTCCAACCGTTCAAAAAAGAAATGATGATTTTTGAATACTTTTTGAACACGGTTGAGGAAAACAACAAAGAACTGCAAATTGAAGATTTTACATGTTTGGAAAAGAAGGGACATGAACCAAATTGGTACTTCATTCTATTATACCACTTTATTAGTATTCTCATTTGTAATATCATCACAGAGTATGTTATAAATTCTGTGATGATCATTGAATATTTGGTACTCTCCAGTTCTTATTTTTTACATGCGTGCTAGTAGGTGAGGCCTTTTCATTGCCTCAATAGGATTAGTAAGGTAAGTTTTAGCCCGGTTTGAGTTGCCTTGGTCCTATGCCTTTGGAAAAATATCCACACGGCTATGAGATTATATGCCCTCACGAGACATTGCCGGCAGCTACACCATGAATCCTCTACATGAGGCTGCCATCATAACGCAATGTGAGGCGCAGAGGGGTGATTATATAGCCAAGGCATATAGGTAACAATACCGGTGCTATTGTCCCCCTTATTTGTACTGTTCCTAATTGTTGTATTTTCTGTTCTTTTTTTTTTTAATTAATAAAAAAAAAATAGCCCTAGGCGATTGCCTAGCGGATTGCTGAAAAAAAAAATCTAATCTAGCAGTCTAGTTAATTTCTAAGTCCCCGGCAACAATGCCAAAAACTTGTTGCTCCCAAACGCACACGCAAATATACGTGGTCGACAAGTAATATAGGATTGTAAGTTCAGATATCGTACCCACGAGGACTTGTGATTAACTATCAACTAAATTAAACCAAACAATTATTCTATTCAAGCGATCCTAAAGTATGAATATTTTACTAAAATTTAATCTAGAATAACAAACAAGGAGAACAAAGAAAAGAACGACAAGCTTAACGACGAATTCAATATGGGTGAATATTCTAGAGAATCCCGTTGAATTTTTCACTTAAATCGTCTAATTAATTTATCTGGTTTATTGGTTGACAGAGTTAGTATTGCTCGTAGGCTTCTCCCGAAGTACAACTCGCCTATTCAAGCTAACCTAATGCCTATATTCCTATGGAATTAGAATTAACAAGAACGCATTAATAATTCCCGTATGGTAACCAAGCAAGGTGATTAGGTATATTCCTATCCTAACCACAAATCCGCCCCCCCTCCTCCTCAGAGTTAATCTTGCTCTACTCAATCTTATATGCAATCTAGAATTCCCTCTCCCAAGTTCAATCCTAGATTCGTAGATAGTATTCAATTGGTGATCAAGCATATGATAAAATAATAAGAACAATTCAAGCTTCAAACTACAACGTTCATGTAGCACCCAAAACTCTAGCACAAATAAACTATGAAACTAAAAGAAGAAAAGAGAAGAAAAACTAGTTAGAAGCCTCCTCCAAGCGTGGTGTGTGTTTCTCCACGTCAATTCTCTCCAAAATAGTCTCCCTTGGTCTCAGGTCTGTCCAAAGTCGTCAAAATAGCGTTTTTATATGTATTTATACCAAGTAGGGTTGGACCCAGACGAAAACACCTTCTCCCGTGCGAAATAGGACTCTGGCTCTATAAATTTTGTACAGCCGCGCCGCACCCTGCGCCGCGCCATGCGGCGCGCTAATGGAGTTTATCAGCAGCCTCAACCTTTCGCATCAGGCATCATTTTACACTGCTACGCCGCGCCTTGCGGCGTCCCATGCGGCGCGGCAGTGTAATTTTCTCATAGTGAACTTATTTCGTCCTCTTTTAACATCCGGACTTGGTACACGACCTCCGAACACGGTCCCGGCTTAATGTCTTGGGCTTTTACTCAGACTTCAAAGCTCCAAATCACTTGAATTCATTCCATAACGCCTACATAGATCGGAATCACTCCTACAAGGCATAAAACACATATTTAGTGCAAAACACTAGCGATTAAAGCTCAAACTCAATTAAAGTACAGTAACTTAGAGTGTAATAAGCGACTAAAATACACAATTATAGTCTATCATCAACGAGAATCTTTTTAACGAGGTGGCGAATAGAGTTAATTAATATGGATAAGATCCATCACGCCTTTAATTATATTCAATACTTCTTTTCTTGATCTATCTAATTTTAGTTTTTATTTATTTAACAGTTTGTATTTTGTTACAACAATCTAATATATAGACTATAATAGAACAATATTGAATGGTGTATCTAATGATCACACAACAAAGTATATCACACTTTTGAGAAAATCAAAAAATGCTTCAAAAGCTAGTGTTTCTCATTTGATCCACTAGTTTTAACGTATTTTCGTACTAATTTCATATTTTTATAGGGGACATTTATAAGTTTTATTATTTTGATAAAAAATTTCATTGTTTCATATAAAATGTAGTATCATTGACATTCGTATTTATCTTTTTAAATATATTGTACCGTAATTAGCCGAGATGAAAATAATCTGAAGAAAAAACTGATACATTCAGATGGTTTGGGAAATTTACTTGTGGTGGTTATGTACAATATATTAAGTGAAAATAGGTATAATAAAATTTTTCTGATTCAAACCGTATCATTGAACCTCTAACCTACCCTACATTTGTTTATTCATGCTTCTCATTTTTCCTCTTCCATCTAGGAGTAATAAGTATACCTTCTAAAGATAAGTTCAAAAGCATCTTCGAGTGAATTGGTCTTGCGGTCTTGCCTTTACTTTGTTCCATATGCCTTGTAAAATCACTCAAGATTTCTCAAAGGTATATGTCTTCTAAGTGCAGATTATAACCACATTTAGTGTAGTCGACAACATGAGGGAGCAGTTCTACTCTCAACAAGAGAAAATCTCCAGGTTTGGTTGTGCATTATAGTGTTTTCTTTGTTATTATATCCTTTTTTAGGTGTGATGGTTCATAAAGTAAATTACTTGTCCCGTTTCTTTAGGAAAGATGATCCAGATATGAAAAAGCTGTTTGAAAACATTGAGAAGCTAAGACAGGAATTTGAATCTATTGAACGACCAAATTTAGAAATG